ACCCAAAATACTGTTCACAACGTTTTAAAAACTGATAATCATTTTTTCCAGTACTGGATATTGAATTTGTTATTTGTAATATAAATTTACGTGTATCTTCCAATGATACTATTGGGCTTGTTGTTTTCGTTACTTGATTTTCAATAATTTTAACTAGTACCATCAGCAATGTTGTCAGATATGATGTAATTGACTGTACGATGTTTTGTGGTAGTAGATGACTTTCACGTAATTCTAGTAAAAACCGAGTGTAATGTTTTTCAAACGAATCACTTGTAAATACTTCTTTATCATCTTCTTGATTAATTAAACAAGTGAACAATGGCCAGTCCACCCATTTGTATTTGTCTTTGGGTCTTCAAATGTCTCCCGTTCATTATCATATAAATCTTCGTGCCTGCCGATATATTCGTCTACGTCTTCTACAGTGACATCCATATTTGATAATAAAGATGAATCTGTTTGTTCATTGTTAGCTCTTGTATGCTGGGTTGATGGCAGTGGTTGATCATTCAAAAGATCACGATGATATCGAGTCAGATGGCTACGATAGCTTTCGAATGTTGTGTAAACAGAGCCGCAAGTCGGAGCTACTTCACAGCGAACACTGAACGATGTGTCATTTCTATGTATTGAGCTGATATGCTTGTAAAGTTTCAGGAACGAAAAACACGGCTTGCTATGCTGGCAAACTGAACAAAAATAATAATTAGGACTCATTCTTAGCTACCTCTTAATTGCTGAAATACATTTGGATTGGATACAAATGTTGATAGCCACTTCAATACATCGTCACAATTCATACCATTTATATTCATTGTTGTTTTGCGCTTAGATGAACTAAAGAAAGACACCACTACGCGAAAGGAAAGGGTAAATCCAACGTACCACGAGGTATGAGAGGAGATTTTCACCAGATTGTTATCAGATGAATGTCTTACTGTAATATACGAATGACTCCATAAGTGAAAAATACAAGAGTATATATACATGTACATAGAGAGCGAGAAAAATATCATTCAACGAAAAAAAGAAAACGTCATACAAGGCAAAATGGACTGGATGTATAGGTGACAAAAGAAAAGAGAAAACATGTACAATGAACGATTATTCAATGAATTAATTGTACAATAAGGATGTATTTAGAGAGAGGACAGTATAGCCACTAGAGTGGAGAACATAGTTAGCGTCCAAAGTGAAATTCAGTCCAATGTAATATTGGCCTAGGCCAAAGTCAAATTCCACTTTGAACTAGTCCAAAGTCTAATTTCACTTTCGCCTAGAGTTAGTTAAGGCCAAAGTCAAATTTCAGTATGAACTAGTCCAAAGTAAAATGTAATAAAAAATGTCAGTCCAATGTGACATTGGACTGGAAACGCCAGGCGAATCTAAGATTGGACTAGTCTAAAGTACAATTAAGAATTAATCAGGCCAATGTGATATTGGCCTAGGCTAACGTCAAATTAAAAAAAAGATAATTCACGAAAGAATTGATTATTTGTACTGGAAAATTGCTTGTAATGAAACAATGTATTGTTTTACGATGAATTTCTTTTTATTTGTCAACATTTGAAAAAGATACAGATTTTGTGAATCGAAAAGAAGAGTCTTGAAGACAAGAAAACCATCAAGCTTCTATAAAACCTTCATTTCAGACCAATTCCATAAGTCAGGATCTACTTCAACCTATGCGCTGGCTGCACCGAGTACAGGTCATTACATAGGAAGGTTTTTCGATCAAACAGACTTATATTTTTTTCTTCGACTTCAACTAATCACTTAAATTATTTTGGAGCCTTTTACATTTTTATGATTTTTTTGGTTTAGTTTTAAAAAGTTTTTTGCACAAATGAGTACTATACAAAAATACCTCTAACCTTCACGAATTTGGCAATATATATTTGCTTTATGACATTTTGTCGAGCATTAAACATTGTTATGAACACATTTACAATGTTTACTCTTACAACCTGATTTACCAGAGCACACCATACCATTGGCATTACCACGAACATATAATCTCGATGCTGTTGTTAATGTTATTTCATCTAAATCGTTCAGCTTTAACGTTACTAGATCATTTGGAACACTAGAAAGAAAAATAACATCATCGAACGGCCATCATGCATCTAAAGAGGTAACGTTGACAAAATTGCCCGTTACAATTAACTCTTCTGCTAATCTGCCCAAAAGTATAAATGAAGAGTAATAAAAGTAGCGCAATATTAATGCTAATTAATGTAAAGTAACGATTGAGGACGCTTGGAGTTTTGTCGATTCAATTGTTCGATGTTGTTCGTTGGTATGATCGATAAAGGTGTTGAACAGATATGAACGTTGAACTGTAAATTGGAGAAATAAAATTTTTAGCCACACTTCAACTTGAAACAAATCTCTGTATCGTCTCTGTTTTAACATAGCCTCACTATGTTTGAGAGTAAGTGTTCGTTGTTCTACGTTGTTCTTATCGGAGAAGTCCGAAGTGAAATTGTTTTCTCGATAACTCAGCGGGGGTGATGTACGCGCATGATGTATCACATTCTTTTTGATGCGTCATATATCGTCATCAGAATGTTCACATCACAATATACGATGACGCTATCAGAATGTTCCAATGTATTTTATACATATATATAAGCGTGTTTCTGTATTGTTTTCTGTATCAGAACTATATTCGCTACAGTGTTTCTCATCTTCTCCATTCTACTAATAAACTTACTCAAGCCCAATCAAGTAACTGTTTGACATTCAACATACACATCACAAGATTCACAGATTACTACGATCTTTTTGATTAGACTTCAAGAGCAAATTTCTAAGGTAATTTTGTTAAAAACACACTTTTCTTGACAAGTATTTCTAATCTATCTTACTTGTATTAGAAATAGTAAAAAATGCCACCAAAACGAAGAACTCTGCTGGGCAGAAGTACGTCAGCTGCGAATAGAATGGCAGCCTCAAGAGATGCTGAGAGTCTAGAGCGCTGACAAACTCGGCTTGATGATCAACGTTCAAGACAAGCGGCTTCAAGAGACGTCGAGAGTCCAGAGCAGACACGGACTCAAATTGACGATCAACGTGCAAGACAAGCAGCCTCCAGAGCAGTACATTGGACATTCATGGAAGGGGAAGCGTTTCGCTATGATCCAGCTAACAACTACGACAGCCATCCTCAACTTCATATTGGACAAATGACCGATGTTTGCTCATACTGTGATGCTCTCAAGTGGCCTGGGGAAACACCAGGTATGTGTTGCTCTGGTGGTAAGGTGAGGCTACCAGCACTTCAGTGATTTCAGTGGTTCCGGAGGAGGCCGATGTCAGGAACAACGTCTCAGTCGAAACATTTCCTGGAGAACATTAGAAAATACAATTCCTGCTTCCAGATGACGTCTTTCGGCGCCGCAAATGAAGTGTGTGAGCCAGATTTCATGCCCACCTTCAAGGTGCAGGGTCAAGTCTACCACCGCGTGGGATCTATGTTGCCAGCCTCGAATGAGGAACACAAATTCCTTGAAATTTACTTCATGGGTGACGAACGGCAAGAAGCAACGCAACGTTGTAATAATATTCCTGGCACACGTCAAGATATCGTCATGGAACTACAGCAGATGCTTCATCATCACAACAGCTACGTCCATGTCTTCAAATCTGCGCTTCAAAGAATGCCTTCAGATGCGTACAAGGTGGTCATTCGAGCGGACAAGAAACCTGCTTGGGAGCATGCGCGACGCTTCAATGAGCCTCTGACAAATGAGGTGGCGATCGTCATCGCTGGCAACGAATTCGACAGGCGTACACAGCTCCCCAGAGAAACTACATCTTACAA